GAAGAGGAGACGCGATCGCCGTCTCGGAGCGTCTGAAGGGCCGCCGCCGCGTGGAGTGGCCGAGGAAGCGTGAATTCCGGCGATGGGACAAGCGGGATACGCGGGATAAATCACGTCTGCTGCTCACATCCACGCAGCGCAGCCCGGTCGCTGGGTTAGCCCGTTTTCTACCTTTTCCGGAAACACCGAATCCAGAACGAATCGAGTGGTCGGTCGGGAAAGAGCGAAGGGCCCCTCTGCGGGCCCTCTGTCAGCACGAGGCTCCTCGGGTGCAGCTGCGCCCCGGGTCACCAGTGCCCGGAACTACCTTCCTGAGGGCCGCCGCCAGCTGCCTGATCACAGCTGCTAATTTGGCCTGAGGCTCAAATTAGAACTACTGAAGGGAGCTGCTGTGCCACGTTGCCCCTACCACCGCCCAAGAGTTTGCAGACTGGGTCTCTTAGGTGGGGGCAAGGATTTCCTGCTTGAGAGGACAGCGAGGGGCTCCTCCGAAATGCAAAGAGCTTCCTCTTGGAGCGCGGGAGTTCCGTTTGCAGCCCGGAAAGCAGTGAAGAGCCAGGGGTGGTTCAGCGCCTGCATTATGACGTAGCCAGGGGGTCACAAAGGCCAGAGCTGCCAAGGGCTTCTGGTCCTGGAACGCTGGGGAGCTCCAGCTGGAGGCTCCCCAGTGCCATCAGAAGGGCTTGCGTGGGCCCACTCACCGGGCCCTGGACCGAGGGTGTCTGCCATTCCTATTCCACTCTTCCGTCATGCAGATTGGACTGGTCGATTGGACAGGGGGGTATCTCACCGGCGAGTGCTATGGGGATGACGTCAGTGTTTTGGGAAGCTCGCTGGGAAAGAAACAGGTATGGAGCGAAGGAGCCCCCGGCCCCTATGGCTCACCTTTGGGGCAGAGGGAGTGGCTGAGCTCTTTCTGGCAGTGGGCTGGGGCATGGAGGGAGGATCTCCTGTCTTAAGACATTCAGCATGCCCACAAAACCGTTTCAGCAATTTATCCATAGCATCTGTTTACAGCAATGCTTGTTTCCTGCCTGGCCCGAGATCCTCTGGGCATCAGATCCACAGACGGGCAGAGCCCCATTTTTGCTGCTTCAGCAGCTACCAGAGGAATTAGGACAGAGTATGTATCTATGTATCTATGTATCGTAC